GATGTGGGTAGGCTTGAGATACACAGTGCTGGTTATCTCTTCTACGTTGCAAACTCTTGGTGGCGCACTATTGTGAAATGACCCTATTCCTGAGCCTCTAGAATCCTATAAATAGACTAGAGCAGATTTTCCCTAGCTCGTCGGTCAGATGCGGCGGACCAAACCCTTGTTGCGAGAGCAAAACCTAACGTAGTGCGGTGGTTGGACCCTTTCCGAGAGAAGTGCGATTGTAACCATTCTTGAAATGTAACGAAATGCGTCCGAACTGATAGTCAGGCGAGACAGCCCCGTGTCCTCGTCAGCCTTGTCCTGCTAACTGGCCCCAGTCATCCCGTCTTAGCCTTTGATCAAGGCGCCTGCGGCGAAATGGATAGTTGTTCAAGAGCGAGGAGCTGGAGGAGACTATTTAAGCACCAAACCAACGCACGAAGAAAGACTACACGACGAACTGCACGCCTGCCCGGTACGCCTTTAAAGTTCTGCCAGACGTAGCTTATGTTTTTCTTTACATTTGCTACCGTTTCGGTAGCAGATACGATATATGCGTAAAAGTCTCCACCAATCAAAACGATCGCCTCTGTCGCGCATGTTATAAGCTACTCATCATTATAATGGTGCGCGTATCCTGACGTAGCCAGACATTTCAGCACGACACAAGCACGGTCTCGTTGGTCTTCCGTACTAAGATGTCCGTTGCTATTATCTTTGGTGTGGGCCTATGTACAGTACACGTCACATACAACGTGAAGTATGCATGAACTGCACTTCTCAGCACGCCACTTAAACAGACGACTTTCCCGTTGTGCGCAGAGATGGAACGACGTATTTTTACCATATTTCATAAGGGGACCGTTGAGACCGGGACACAGCTGAGACCGCCACACCGGCAGTGGTGTAAACTCTAGTCGACAATCTCTTCCAGAATTGCCTCAAACTTGCAGCACCGAAGCTTGGGATTCCGATCGACCAATTGAAAGCACAGCAAATGTTGGCCGTGAAGGCTGTTCTGGAGGGTCAAGACGTATTTGTCGATCTTCCAACTGGCTATTGCAAGTTTCAAATACCAGGCCGCACCTTTGTGCAGCGACTTCATGAACGTAAGTAGCCTAGCGTGCTCGGACTACTTAGCCCCGAAAACACAATTGGTTCAGAGAAATGTGAATAATATATTCATACATTAGTATATTGAATAATTCATATCAACCACTGGAAACAAAGCTCCAAAGGCGCTTGCGGCGGCGCGCACCGTCTACGATACACACAGATCGGCTACTGCATGCACATGCATGGTTGATTTCGGGCTTGCGTGCAGTTCGTCGTGTGGTCTTGCGCCGCAGGCGCCTTGATAAAAGGCTATCCCCGTCTCTACGCTGAGCCAAGGGTACATAGTGCGGCTATTCTATCTTAT